CAAGCGGAGGACCTCACATTGATTTTATGAAATTTTCAATATTAAAACCCTCACATCCCACAGCGCCACTAATACATAAGTGTAATAAGTGTAAAAGTGTAATACGTCGCAATAAGCGCCTTCAAAAAGACGTAAAAAGATCAAGATTCAAGCAGTGAATGTGGAGATGAAGATGAAAAAGAAAAAAGACGTCTTGCCTTATATAACGCGACACTTTTTCAATTTTATCAATTTTGTTATATTTATATCTGTCAAAGCGTAACGACAGCAAGGACGAAAGATGAAGGTGAAAGAATTTGTGAAAACGGTGAAAAATGATTTTATGGAGGTTTTTAGGTTGAAAGTTAGGTTGGTTGCATATATTATGAAAAAAATATAAAAAAATGTTAATAATTCTGCTAATAATTAAAAATCATGCAAATTAACTATTGATACACGTCAATAATAGTTTGTTTAATTGTGAAAATATAAATTTTGTTTGTAATTTTCAATCAAAGTGCAGTTTTTTAATTTAATTTACACTCTTTGTGTGTTACAAGTTGCCTATAGTAAAAACAATTTACAGTTTAATTTTATCGCCGCAAATACAATTATAAAATTTGAAAGGTGAAATTGCTTGCGATAGTTTTTTACGTTTGCAATTTTGAAAATGAGCACAATTTCCGAGGCCGGTTTTAATTAGACAAACACACGAAATTGCAATTGTAATTGAAATCCGCGAGCATTCACTACTTTTCCACTAACAAACTAACCAAAACGTAAAAAACGCCCACGACTACGAAGTGAATTAAAGAAAAACTAATTAAAGGCTTTCCCACGCCTAAAAAATGAATTAAAAGAATGAAAAACTTTATTTCCACTTTCATTCATATACGAGTATGATTACCTTCCTCCCACTGCATAATAATTCTCCTTGATTTTAATTACTTATTTTAAATTGTTTTCCGACTTTAAGTGGGCATGAGTTCCTGAAAAAAGTTTTTAATCGGATTTTTTTAAAGTTTAACATTCGTTTTGCATTTGTTTTGTGTTTGTTTTGCGGGCAATTTTTTTTTGTCTTTGTTTGTTGGTTCGTTTGCTTGTTGTTCGAATGTGTTCGACCAATGCGAATCCGCTTCCGAGGCTGTCGGGCGTATAAATTATTTGTGCTTTTAATTATTCGGTGGTGTGGTCGAATTTCGTTTGGTGCGTTCTTTTTTTTTTCAACTCTGTTGGTGTTCCGGGCGCTGTTTTTGTCTGTTTCCAACAGCTTCCAATCACACGCCGAACGCACACAATTTCTATTTGCATCGGTTCCGATGTGATTCGGTTTTATTTGTCTTCCCAGCGTTTTTTTACACTTTAGTAAAATGCATATTCAATATTAACCAATCAATTGTTTGTTTGGTAATTTTTTATGAATATTTGATGAAAGATTAAGGCCAAATCAATTTTTTTTATATTTTTGGCAATTTTGGCTCAATTAAAGCAAGATTTAGGTGAAATATTTAATTGTTTAATAGTTAATAACATTTTTTATCGATTTTAATTAAAATTCAGTTAAAATATTTAATAAATATTGAGATATTTAGTTTTCTTTTTAAATTGATAAAAAATTAAATTTTTGGTGGGAACTATTTTTATGTACAATTTCATTAGAGTAATTGAAACATTTTCCTGTAGCTCATGCATTCCAGCTTTCGTTTTATTCGTTTTCCCGAGCATTTTCGTCCCTTTCGTGTGCGATTTGCGTCGATTTATCTAGGTTTGCCTCGGCTCGCCTTGCTTTAAATATTGAAAAGCTGTTTTTTCCCTTCGGTTCGCCATCCCTCTCGGTTTCCCAAGATGACAACGCGGTGCAACTTGAGCAGAGTCTCCACTTCCGTGCGGCAACCCTCTTGGCGTCGTTTTTTTAGATGAATTGTCCGCGTCGTTTCCGCCCAGCGCCGCGTCGATTGCCTCTGTTACCCGCAGTCACCCTCTGCCGCCTCCGCTCGCATGCAACGCGCATACGAATTGATACGAAATAAGAATAAGGACTGAGGACCAAACGCAATGCAAAAAATGCTACAATCGGAGCTTTTGTTTCGTCCTTTTTGAGATCCTTACTTAAACTTGATTGATTACGCGCTGCACAAGTGCATAGATGATCTACGGTATGACAAATAAAGAAAAATAACTTGAGAGTCCTTGAAAGTCCTTGAAACTTCTTCAAATAACAAAAAAAAAAACGATTTTGACTTGAAGTAAGCATACAAAATAAAAATACGAAAAAGGACAAAAGTGCTATTGGAAGTTTACTCTTGGACAAATGTATGAAACGCAGAAAACGAAGAAGCTCTAAAGAGGACTTTGGGGATTCCCCGAAAACGATCCGGCTTGTTTCAGGACAAGCACGCAGAACGAAGTATGAAAACGTGTGCACTTTTTTACTCTTATTTCGAAACTGTAAACCGTATTATTGTGTTTTTTTTTCACAACTCAAGCAAATTTTGTCCTTTTTACCTTTTTTATGTACGCAAGTTATTATTACACTACCTAGGTGGGTTTTTGTGCATTTTACTATAGTTTGTCTCTCGTTTTGTCCGTTTTTTATGTTGGTTCTTATTTTAGCCTAATCCTCATATCATTCTTGTTGTAGTTGGTTTAGGTTTTCTTTTTGGTTTGTCTCGGGTTTGAGTTGTGAGTGTTGTGAGAGTTGCGTGCTTGTTTCGGCGCCACCGCCGCCTCCGTCGCGGCGCTAGATAAGACGCTTTAATATATAGCCCGAAGGTAAACACTACACCATTGAGAACCTGATACCCATAAACACAGCGTTGTCTTCTAACAGCTTCGAATTACTTTTTCTTTTCTTTTTTTCGATTTTTTGTTTTTATTTCGGATTTTTTGCTTGGTTTCAAGCTGTCAAGTTATTTTGAATTGATTTTAGGTTATACCAGCGCCATCTATAATTTATTAACACATTTAATACTAAAAAATAACAATATTTTAATATTTATGAATTAAAATTACATTTTTTGCTTCTATTTTTAAACATTAATATAAACGAAAGAAAACATTTGCGACGTGATCCGCAACCCAAATATCACCAAAGTTAAACTTCTCTCCTTTCAGGACTTTTCTTTTGTTGTTCAAGGACACGAAGACAACTGACACGTTTACATCCCAAACAAAAAACAACTATTTAGTATTCACATCTTATCTGCACCCTCATCTCGGGCTTTTATTCTTTATTTTTATGTCAAAAATGATTACATTAATTCATCCGACTATAACGTTTTTGTCTACTTTATTGACATAGAAAGCTTTCAATCTTCTCAAAGTAGATGAAAGCAACGATTGTCGAAACACCCTCAAGTAGTCAAATGTTTACATTCGCTTTGCTTTCGATTTGTCGACGTTTTCTATTCACTGGCGATTATTTGAGGTTAAATCCAAATTTATTTTCGTTTTACCACTGTTTATTTTTCTCCGCAAGTTAAACACAGATGTCTCTAAGATGAAATTGTAACCTAACCATGCATAACCTCAATTATCACCTGAATAAACCACGTGATAACTTGTTAAAACCTGTTTAATAGCTCGTTTTATAACTTTACGAGTATACTAAGCGCTTTATTAACAATTAAAACTGTCTGCGCGTACGTAAAATCCGCTCGCCCCTTGAAATTGTATTACGGGCGGTCCGCGCAGCCCATTCGGAATTAATTTACTTTCGCTGCGCGCTCTAAATTAATAAATTAACAATTTCATATCGTATCATGTGGAGCCGGAGTCTATAACATAATGAAATTGCAGCCGGATAGCGGCAATTCAGTGCGGTGTGTATGTACGTGTCATACCTGCGTCGGGGGCGGTCGTTCCAAGTTCAAAGGACGCCTAATTGCCTCTGGAAAGTTTAATCTTACGCTGATAATTTCATTTCTCTAAGAAACTTTCCAACTTTGAGATAAAATATTGAAAATTGTGTTTTTGACCATTTTGTTTTCTTATGCAGCAAGATAGTATGTTTATGAGGGGATATTATTCGAGGTTATGTTGTTAACAGCCGCAACACGTTCGTTTTTATCGTCATAGGGTCACGACGCAATCGCTGCGAGGGTGAAGAAAAAAACACAACTTTCTCCATATGTATCCTGCCACCCTGCACGCCATAAAACGCACTGCGAACGCGTTTATTTTATTCTTTGCGCCGCCATGTTTGACACTAGCGACGCGCGTGTGCACGCGTGAGCACTATATTAAAATATATGATCTCTAACGGCTAACATTTATCGCTGGTGTTATTTTAATGTTATCTCACGTTAAAATCATAGGGGTGGTGGTTACATGTCATAAACCTGTCGAAATTACCTATGTACATTAAATTTATTAACAATAAAAAATAATATTATTGTTCTTTTTTTTAATTAAATCTCCAAAAACTGCAAAAAATGTGAAGAAAAAAATCTGAGTTATAAAAATGTCATCAAATTACTTTCGCTTCAATATACTCGTAGATCTCTCTCTGACGTTTTTCTTCTGCTGGTGGCGGCGCGGTAGTTGGTAGTTGGTTGGCGACGGCAATGGCAGCACTGGTGGCGGCAAAGTTATCTTAACTTTCAAATGCAGATGCTGCCGGCATGATAAAACGTTATTCGAAATTCATATGTAAAAGGTGCACGCCGCCCCCGGTTTACGGCCGCCGCCGGTGGAGTAATGCCCACATCTGCAACAGTGAAACGAGCGTCGCTTCGGGTATTAAAAGACGTTGCAGTCGGAGTAACGACTGAGGGGTACAGACTTCAGCGCCTCCTCAAATTCAACTTGACGTTTTATATCGGAGATTTATGCGCTGCGCCAAAGTTTTGAATTTCGATTCTTGCAATGGTGCTTAATCATCATTATATACGCATATATTAATAATTCTCAAGTATTTATCTTGAAAATATTAAGTTTTTACATTTTTAACACTTGTAAGGTTATAATTTATTGAAGTAACGCCATCTGTGTTCTAAAAGTTTTGATCTTTTTTGTTTCAGGTACTGCGCTGATGAAAATCGTTGAAGTTTATAAGGAAATTCAAGATCAACAAATGAATATTGTAAGTAAATATTATTTTAAGGCTTTATTATGAAATATTGAGGTTAATTTTAGGTTAAAGAGGAAAAAGCTTGAAAAACACGTTTGTTTAATTAATTAGATTAATCTCAATAGTATAATTCAGTTAGTGGCTTTCAACGTCGTTTGAGGTCATCGCACGAAACACAAAACACGAAAAGCTCGCGCAGCTCGCGAATGAAATTACACTAAAAACGTAAAAACTGCGTGAAGCTAAAAATGCCCAGCCAAAGTACGAGCTTTTAGCCATTGCTGGCGGCAATAAAAGTGGCCATAATTTTCACCATTCGCCCACGAAACGTGCGCATCCTTTTCGGGGCCACTTTTTACACTACGCGACCGCATAAAACAGACCGCGATTTAACGCACGACACCTTTTTTTATTGTATCCTCGCTTGTGGATAAGAGGAATGAGAAAAAAACATTGAACAAGAGAATGATACGGATAACAAGAAACAAAATATTTGCTTTTTTTTTGTTTTTGTATTTTTTGTGTAGTGGAGTTTAAAAAAAACAGAAATTGGGTTTTTAGGTTAAGTTTTATGACGCACTCTGTATGTTAACGAGAATTTGAGTATTTGACGATCCGGAAATGAACTTTTTTAATAAGCGCATCGACGAACGCAAACCGAAAATGCAAAGCGAAAACGTTTTTCGGTCCGGTCGGCCGGCACGCTTCAATTACATCTGTTTGACTAAGTAATAACAATTTAATTAAAAAGCTTTACGAAACTCGACGCCACATGCACAACCCGGGCGCAATCCGGAAAACCCGAAAGTTTTAGTGTGGTTTAAATCCACCAAATCGAAAACAAACAAAATGTCAAACTTTTCAAATTATAATCAATTCAAATATAAAAATTACAAACTTATTTAAACTATTGAAGATGTACTAATGAATAATATTTATTTATTTATTTATTTATGAAATGTGAAATTTTTGTTTTCGCCTGGTAGTTAAAAGCTTTCTATGTGGATCTTCTCGTCCCCTTGGAAACAAATCTCGAGAAGGATACAAAGGTCGTTCAAGTAAGTGCTAGCAACAATATTTATAACGTTTCCGCTAATTTATTTTATTTCCTTTTTTGGACGATAGTCGGAACAGAAACGTTTTCTTCAACAACACAAGCAACGCGCTGAAACCTACAGTAAGGCCGCAGCCATGATGAAAAAACAACGCAAAAAGTCGCGTAGCTCAACGAAAACCGGACTGGCTATGGATAAAGAACTTAAAGTATGCAACCAAATACACATATTAATAAAATAAACAACATAACCTATTTTTTGTTTTATAAACTAGAATATGCAGGTGCTCGAGGAAGAAAAAACAAAACTGGATGCATTTTGCGAACAAAGTTTAAAAAATGTAAGTTTAACCTCAAAATAAACGAAAAACTTTTATTAATAATGTTTATTTAAGGCTATGACACAAGAAAGACGACGATACGGATTTGTCCTGGAACGCCAATGCTCACTCGCCAAACACTACCTGTCTTATCACACTCACGGAGTCAGCGCTTATCATGAAAATCTTGAAAAATGGTCTGAAGTCGCAAAAACCCGCGAATTTCTTCCGGAATCCGTTGAGAATATTTTCAGCAACCGACTTAGGGTAAACATACACAACCTTTATAAATTTTATACATCATATAAAAGCTTTATCAGTGAATTATTTATTATTTACAGCAAATTTCCGTATGGCAAGACGAAGACCTCTACTCTAACCCACGCAGTCCACATTTCGACGAGGATAGAATCAGCATCGCGTCGCAGTTGAGGAAAACTAAGAGTATGGACGCTTCCTGTTTGGATATTCGCTCTATTGGCGATGTAGGTTCACCGGTTACGACTTTATCGCGAGCTAAAAGTGAATACAACTTGAATTCTTCAACACATTCCTTGGAACAAGGTAAAATATTACTTTAAAGAAAAAGTTTTATTTTTAAATGTTTTATTTGTTTGTTTTGTGCAGATGAGACACCAACACGTCGTCCTAAGTCAATGGCGGTCCCACCGGTCCCGCCACCAACCTGGGATACTCAATTAGCTCGCTCGTTGTACGCGTATCTGTCAAGCGGGGAAAATCAGTTGAGTTTCTTGGAAGGTGACCTGATTGCGCTGATTGGTGAACGGAATAAAGGATGGCAGTTTGGGGAAAATCTCAGGACGCAAGCGAGTGGATGGTTTCCACTTGCATATACTGAGATTTTAGACGATAACAATATGTAAGCAATACATATCCTCAATTTTTTTTAAATTATTTTTGTTTTTGTGTTTCCCAGGTCACCAAGTCATGCAAGCAGCTCAAATTCAGCAAACCACGCCTCACCATCAACTGGCGCCGGAAAAGACGCTCCTGGTAACGGTCTAGATCAACCCACTCGTATGTTTGGCGACACTCTGCATCTTCATAGGTCTTCAGCTAATGCTAAGCAGGTAGAAATGCTCGTCAATGCTTTTAAACCAATGCTTAAATAATATTTTTGGTTTTAAAACTCAAATATGAAAAATTTTAATTTTTAAATTTTTAAATTTAAAATATGCAATGTTTATTTATAGATTCGCCGTGCTATCGGTTCTAACAACATCCCCCCGCCGGCCTTGCCCGCTCCCGTTCCCACTCCGTCCCTCCCCTATCACAAGACAGGGATGACCACGTCGCAGTCAACTCAATTCCCGAAAACACCTACCGAAGGCACCTTCCCTGGTTCACAGTATGCCCAAACTGGCATCAAGACGTCGGCGAGCAGTTTCAACTTTACAACGCCCGCCTCCGGCGCTTACTCTACCCACCCCCAACCCTCCAGGTCCGACCGTCCCACCGCCGGCGCGCCCCTTCCTCTTCACCTCCAGACTAAGAAGATCGGCGGGCCTGTGGGTAACGTCTCATTGCACAGCAGCAATGATTCTGGGTTCAGTAATGATCCCCCACCACAACCGGAAATTGATTATTCCGATGATGATTCCATTCCGGGTCAGACTAAATTACCAGCTCGGTAAGTTTTATGTTCAAAACTACAACTTCTATATTCTTGCGTTGCTTTAACTTTTTTTTGGGTTTGTCTTCCGGTTTTTCTGTTTTCAAAGTTTCCGCTTGTGTTTGTGTTTATTTTTTGCTTATTTTTTATTTTAACTTTTAAATAGTAAGCATAAGCGCGAGGTAAGCAGCGATGATAACAACAATACCCGGAAGTCGCAAAAAAACATGGCGCCCATTCGTCAATCTTCAAGTTCGGGAAACTTGATCGAAAAGAGGTATTATATCTCTGACGGTGAGGATGCTTTGCGTTATATGACAGCCGAACGTCGTGGATTAGTAAAAAGGACAAAGTCCTTCTGGCGTTTCGGGAAAAACAACTCTGATAATGAAATTCTCGAAGGCATGTCACTCTGGAAGCATAGGGATCTGGTAGATGTAGATGATGATCAAATAGAGCAAGATCAGAAATATTTAGAAAAAGCGGAAAACCGGAAATCAAATGTTGAACAAAATCAATCCACTAGGAGATCCCGCAAAGTGAGCAGGGATGCTTCGAATGACTCTGAAAGAACCCTGTTGAATACTAATGAGGGTCATGTTCAAGGTCAAAATCAAAATCATGTTCGTAATCAAGGTTATGAAACAGATGAGAAGCGCGCTGGCGAGTTGAGAAATCGCCCGAGTTTTAGATCGACGCAAAATGGTGATACTGGTGGTCGAATGTCACTTCCGGTTTCTCCACAGCGTGAAACAAGAGAATATAAAGAGGTTAGAGAGGTTAGAGAAGTTCGTGGCGCGAGGGAATCTCGAGAGATGGGCGACGATCAATTTTATGACGATGGCGATGATGGTCTACTGTTGCGAACTGTCAACCGGAAGAACATCCTGCAGCAGTACACGAACGACTCGACTGGACCCGATTCCGAGAACGAATCGGAAATGACCAGCGACGATCCGTACGACTGCATCGTTGTGGATGATCAAGCACAAAAGGTTAGGAAAGGTGATTTTCCTAATGTGGCTGCCCTGGGCCGGAAGTTGGAAAAATTATCAAAGAATACAAAGTATTCACCCAACAAAGAAATACCCAAACAGGCTAATCAAACTATGGTTAATGAGAAAAATAACAATAATATACGACACGAGCGTCATGAACGCAAACAAGAAGACGCCATTTTGAATTACCGCAGTGAAAGAAACGATAGAAACGATAGAAACGATAGAAATGATAGAAATGACAGAGATCGTTCGACTTTTAAAACTTTCGGACATGAAACGACGCCGAAACAAGTCAAAAACAACGAAAACGGCGAAAAGGAGTCACATCACGATGTGCAACGCGAATATGGCGGTCGGAAACGTGCCACCGATACTCAACCGAAAGACAAACGTCGCTTTTATGCTGAAAACAGCCGCGATCAACGCGACGATCGTAAAACCCGTCAGAGTTACGACAGCATTGACTCCGAAGTCGACCATCGCGAAAATCAACAACTGCAATCACAACAGCAGCAACATAACCAACAAAAACGCAATTCAGTACGACGCACGCATACCGACGTTGACAAAAAGAAATATTATCGCGATGCGACTGCAACCACCACAGCAGATGAAGATTATTCCGATGCTACCATTGGTCCAGATCGTCAATTTTTACCACGTACTAAATTAAATAAAACCAACAGCGGTGGAAATGCTAAAAATAACAACAATAGTAAATATGGCGCTGGGGATGTCACTACCGATGCTGGGAGCTTAACGGATTATGGCGAAAGCTTACAAAGACGCATTAAAAACGATTATGGTAAAATGGACGAAAAGTCCCAACACAATGGGAATATGTATGGGCCATGGTATGATTTATGGGGCATGGATGCGTCAGTGAGGAAATAAACAACGTACAAGTCAAACAATCAAAAAAAAATTGCTCAATGGTTGATTTTTGCTTAACCTTAGTTTTTAACTGTTAAGATAGGCAACTAAACATACATTTGTTATGCACGTATGTTTATTTTTAACTTTTTTATGTTATTTTGCTCAATGTTTAAGTTTTACGAATGTTTTTATTGCTAAAAATGCATGCAAAGTAATACTAATACTTAAATTTATATACAGGATGACCAATAATTTCGCTACGATCAAACTGCGTAAAGGCAGCAAGTCTACAGATAGATCAACGTCACTTATCGTCGAATAACATTTTTAAAACGTGTTTAACCTACGAAAAAATCAAAAATTTAGTTTTTAACTTTTACAATACAATGTAAACTAATGTTAATTAAGTGTTATGGTTGCTAATTAACTAACTAACAAAATAACTAATGACATAATCCCTAAAATGCTCTAATCAGTCTAATCAACTTGATTAATTATAAATAATTCTCCATGTAACACATCGTATCGCTAATGGATGAAAATGGATTAAATTATAAATGAATAACTAATCACAGCGATACTGTAATACTGGTTGCGTATGTTGAGATTTGAGGTTATGTAATGACTAACCTAAATAATGTAATTACTCGCTCTTGGTGGTTGGGATGGTGCAATACACACTTGTCACACACTTGTCAAACACGCAAACACGCTTTGATGATATTTTAAACAGTTTTAAACAATTATTTCAACAAAAATATGAAAAATAAACACACATGGTATATCACATCACAGCATAATATCTGTATATATTTGTGAGTCTTTTGTTATCCGGTAGAGGGCGGCGTGTATCGGAATGTGGATTAATTTGCGTTTAATTAGCAGTAATTGGCATTGCGTTCGCATTGTGTTTGTAGAATTAGGCGTCCGGTCGCGAACTTCAGAAGATACGCGAATGTGGGCGGCGGAGGCGGATGTGGAGGCGGCATTACAACTGCTGGAGGTGGAGAAAGTAACAGGCGTTGTGTTGTAAGTAAAGCGCCATCGTGTGAGTATCTCGACTGGCCGCGTGCGACGCGCCATATTGGCGCCGGGGGCGGGATGAGTGCAGGGGGCGGACAGACACAACGCAGGGAGACACATTACCGCCGACCGAAAGTCGATCTGAGCGCGTATCGATGGACACATCCGTGATTTGTGCAAAAAGAATAATTTTCCGTTCGTATTTGTCGCAAATTTATTGAAATTACCGACGCGATTTGAAATTAGATCAGGAGCGCGAATGCGGAAAGATGGAAAACTCGATTAAGTCGCGCGAAGCCAATTAACTGATTGGATTAATTACGGTACGCGTTAAAAATATCGCTGGTAGTCAATTTTAATTTATTCGCTATGTTGTCAGCGACAAACCGACAAGTTTATTTCAATTGCAAAACCAAAAATGAAATTTTAAATTTGTTTTTGAATTTTTTTGGTTAAAATATAAAATAATTGGCTTTCATACCCAAACTAGTCGGATATTACAATAAAATAATCATCCAGTCAAAATTAAAATAAATTAAATTAAAAATTTGAAACAAAATCGGAATTCGAGACTGTGATATACATTTGAAACTTACACACGAAACTTTTTCACAAACCATTTAAGTAACCGAATAATTTTTACTTCTTTTATTACTTAAAACTAACAAAAACATTAAGTACTAAAAATAACTAATGTAAATAATATCGTACATAAATAACCATCAATTTATTAATTAACTTAAAATTAGTTGAAATAATATCAATACGAATGTCTATAAAGTGTAAATACTAATAATAAAATATTAGTGTTATTGAGGCTGTCAGTTAACAGATGGCGCTAGTATAATCACACAAAAAACCTAAATAAAACTAGGTTAGGCATAAACGTAAAACGAGCACGTCAATATTGTGTATCTGGTAGTAACCGTCCGCAAATGACATCACAGACGTCATTATATTAACCCGATCAACAAAAGAAATACATAGTTATAATATGCAACTCAATATACACGTACTTATAGTAATATATGTAGTAATGTTTTAGGTTATATATTGAAAGTAACTTAAATGTTATTAATATCAATGAGTGAATGAGGGTAAAGAATACTGTACATAATACATTATTTAAAAAGAAGAAGAATGAAGAGGTTTGTAAACGAAATTGTCAAAAAAAAAAATCTGCCATTGCCATAGTGATATCACTGACATGAAAGTCACGCATCACGCATCTGTCAGTTGTCACTTGTGGATTATATAAGTGTGAAAACTTGTACGAGGTGTTTAGAGTAAAAAGTATTTGCACGCATCGCAGTAAATAATCGCACGCAAACGTCGAACGTCATAAAACGTCAGTTTTTGAAGTATAACTGTCTAAGTAATTTAGACTGGTTTATAAAAGGTAGAAAATAAAAGTTTAGTCGATTATAAAAATCGAATAAAAACTGTCAAACACTTATAAAACACCCTGTAGTACTAATAAAAGTAATGCCTAAGTAAAATCAAAACTGACGATATACTGTTCAACAATTTTTAATAAGCTTAGAATAATTTTTACGAAAAATTGCATTTTATTTCGGAAAATTAAAAGAAAACTGCCAACATTGGTGTGAATTGGTAGAATTTGGTACAATTTATTACAAGATAATAAAAATTCGTAATGAATTACAAAAGAAAACAAGTAATGCAAGTTTAAACTAAAAGTACGAATAGCACTTTAAGAATATGAATTCAGTAACAATAACAATACCAATAAAATAAAAATAATTCACTAAACGAACATGTATTATATTATTGCATGTAGCGTACAAAATAATACATGAATTTATTCGATTGTAATTGTTGGTTTTTCCATCGGGATTTGAAAGAGAGAAGAAAATTGCAATTTTTAAGGTTGCGATTGCGCTGAGATGAGATAATGAAAAGGAAAGTGAAGGAAAAAGTCATTCGATACGAGTTTATTTCATTTTTATATTCTATATTCTATAAATAATTATATTGGCTATCGTTTATTCGCTGATTGTTGTTTGTATAAGTTTATATAAATAGTGTATATTATTTTAATAATAAATTTATATTGTTAAATTGGGATAATTATGAGAAATTTATTATTTTGAGCAAATAATCAACTAAACAGGGTGTATAATTAATATTAAGGTAAGTATATGTAAAATAAAACATTAATATCAAATAAAATCGTCATTAAAGTAAATATTTACTGTCTAGACAATAAAATAACATTTAATTGCTTTAGAAGACTAAATTTTGATAAAAATTTGTTTGTTTTGATTATTATTCTGTTTATTTTAAATATTTGTGTACAAATTCTGTAAAATTTCAATTTTTGCTTTTGTTTTGTGTCACCTACAATTAAAAACACACGCAAAAACTAATTACATTTGCGTTTGTGCCTCTTCCTTCCTAATTTGTTTCATTTTGGCTAGTTTCTTTTTAAAGTAGAGTTAAAGTGGGTGTCGGTGCGCATCCAGTTAGTACTTCCACCCTTCTCGACCTCGTTGCCCCGCTCTGGCGCTGGCGAGCTTCTCGAAGGAGTCATAAATCTCCACTACGCGCACTAAATTAGCAACGGGTTCGCCCGCTGAACCCGCGCCGAAAAAAGCCAACAATGCAAACATCCACCCAGCCATTCACCTTTCCACCCATTAAAAATGCATTCTTATTACGTACCGCGACCATCCACCACACAACAACACCACCTAACCTAAAAATAACCTCAAAATAACTTAACCTAACTGATTCCGAACTTTGCTGTTGTTGTAAGTTTGCAAAAAGAAAGTGAAAGAACTAATAATTGAGAAAAACGTTGCAAAAAGTTTGAATTTTGAAGCGGAAACGATGGACCGCGATGAGAAACGAGCAAAGTTCACAAACAAGCTCAAATTCTTCCATGGAGCAGCACGCATGTGAACCTAATCAGTATCTACTTCATTAAAACTTTCTACAAGTAGGTAAGTAAACAACATAAATTACACTCGCATACTCACATTTTATATGTTAGTTTTATCGCATTCTATAAAAATATCTATGCGGCCATTTTGAATATTTAGATTTTTTTAGGTTAGATAATTTTTATGCGTCGAGTAAACCGATGTGGTATTAAACCTAAATATGTATTGGATGTTCGGCTGTAAAATCAAGATATCTTTGCGTTTTGGGTCTCCGCTGATTTCCCAATTTACAAGCGACTTAACGAACGATCCCATTGCATCGATTTCCATAAATTATTGCCTCGGGCGCGGTCCCGCCTTGGTCGTTTCACCGCCGCCGCCGCCGCCGTCGCCGACATGCTGTATCACAACCTCGGCCTGCGCTCAACATGATGTTACCACACCACCACCACCAACATCAGAACTCATTCCTATATATGCCGTAAGAAACATGCTCGTTTTACTTGCGTCCCCATTTCGCTTTCGTTTTCGTTTTCCGTGGCTTCCACCCTATTAATTCGGCGCGCCACGATGATATTTATCTCTTTTCATCAGCGCCGAGGAGATAGATAGGATGAATCTGCCGCTGCGCCCGCCATTAAGCCATGTGTACACACGACGACCACCAGACCTAAGGCGAAGGCCTAGGGATGCCAAGGAAAAGAATGAGAATTGTGCTCGCGGTGAAAAGTCAGCTTGATGAAGAGACAAGCGGTCTGTTTGCGCACAAAAGACGATGTTTTTCATGTTTAGCTCTCGGCAGCATAGTGGTCCCCCTGGGGGATGAATATTCGCGTATTCAGCTTCCGGCGTCAATGATCCTTGTCCGCAAGGCATTCCCCTTCATTCTAAACATTAAAAAACAATTAGGTTTATTCAACGCAAAATACACACATATTGCCATGTATTATGTGTGAATAAAGTTGCCTATAGTCATTATAACCAATAAAAATTTTATCTACCTACCTACAATTAGTAAACAACTTAAATTTCAAGTATCGTGGGTTTTGCGGTCTTCCGAATTGCTGGAATTGTTAGATCTGCTAAATAAGTTTGTTTAGATGCGACTTTAATTACCCCCCAGAAAGGCGAAAGTTTGTCAGCGCGTAATTCGCTTCAACAATGCATCACACCGTCGTCTGCCAGATTCCCGCCACTCCCAGGGCGTTGTGGTACGGAAACTTTGAAACTCGCATTTCCACACAGTGCTGATTTCCGCATTCCTTACTTTACATAATAATAGAGTCCACACAACAAAGAAACAAATGAATTGTTTGTGACAAATATCAGTCACAATCAGATTTGATTAAGTTTTCACGTAATTTGCAGGTTATACATTTGGAGGTTATGTCTGCGTGGCTATTTTTATACTACATAGGGGAATATAGTGAATAGTGAATATGTAGTGAATGGAAATGTGCGAGTGACACTCATGCTTCACACACTGATTATTATCGCAGTGGCCTTGACAATGTTGTTGCCCACCCTTTACAACCCTCTCTCTCGCGTGTCGCTTCCAATTGCTCTCGTCCGTTTTTAGTATGTAGTATTGTGAGGGTGCGTAACCCTTTGGTCACTGCTATTGCACCCTCGGATTTCCGCTAAACTCCAATGAAACTAGACAGACAGCATGGAGGACAAAGGGTGGAAAAGTTAAGTAGAGAGTGATTGTGATTGTGATTACACTCTGTATGTGTGAATGCGGTGTTATCTAAACAACTGGTCATTGTTTTTATGGCGCGACACTTAAGCCATAATTAAAATTAAGTGCAAACATTTATTTTTATAGATCACGTTTATTTTTCTCGGAATAATCTATCCAGACGAGTAATAAACATTTATAATTATTATTATTAGCTGTGGGCGGTCAGTTTATTGTTAATGCATTGCATAACCTTGATTTTGCGCTTAATAATTCTATTGTAAATAATTTACATACCAGTTGTCAGTTCAAGACCAATCTGGTTTGATTTTATGATTTGCAGCTTGATTAATGAAATATCTAGACATCTAGAGCAACCTTGCATGCGTTAAGATATAAATATGACTTTGATTCGTTACGGATATTTCATTTGATTTTGTGTTTTCTATGTGCAAACATCACAAATATCTTTAAAAACAAAATGGCGGTGTTGAGGTGTTTTTTATTGTCTTTTATTTTGATTATCTTGTGTGTTTTTACTCAACAGGCGAAAATTGACCCCAAATGTAAGTTTTTTTTGCTTTTGTTTTGTAAATTTAATTAAATTAATTAAAACATAACCTATTTTCAGTGCGTTTGTGCCATGAAATTGAATGCCCAGAAAACGCAGTTTCATGCACCAAAGAGTTTTCGGCCAACGCTGATAACACAAAGTTGGTAACCAAATATACTTGTGACGGCGACAGTGGTGACATCTTAGTATCAAAAGCCGTTGAAGAATCAAACTCAAATCCCGCAACAAAGGTCCATCAACCATATAAAATCACCAAAAAGTTTTTAGTTCTCTAAATAAACTCGAAAAATAAAATAATTACTTGTAAATTGAACCTAAAATTAGGTTAAAATAAAAGTGAAATAAATGATGTCCTATTCGTCGCGTGAGTTAATGACGTTTTGATCCTTGCTATTAATCATTTTTTTATGTTCCTGGTGCGCGCGTGTTCGCCTTCGATACGACGCACGACCGAAATAAGGAATGATCATGAGAAGTGTAAGTAAGAAGGACGAATGAAGGTACACGAATGAATATTCGTTCGGGGCGCCCATCTGTTTGTGCCCGCGCCATCTCTTCCGGTCTGGTGTGCAAACCGCAAACGGTTGAAACATTATTAATAGGTCAATTATCTTGATAGATTCGGGTCTTTAACTTCCCACTTTGCAGTGTACGGCTACCAACGCAGATCTTCGTCGTAAAACGTAACCTCAAAAACATACAAACCTCATACCCCAAGCGAATCATGTCCGCCATGTTTGTTTTGTCTATAATTAGTCATAAAGTATCCGAATTTAGTGTTTGTTGGAATATACGAGTGGAAATGTTGTAGTGGTTGTTGTGAGCGTGTAAGGGAATGAAGGATGAGGGCTGCAGGTTTAGCTAGGGTGGCTGGGGGAGCGTTTTGCTGTCTCGGCCTGACTGCGGTGGAGATTTATGCGACCGCGCGGATCCGGTTGATTCTGTTGATTCCGTTGAAATTTTTAGTTTCTGCTGACAAATTTGCGCCGCGCGGAAACCCTACACGCGCTTCCCTCTTCCCTCGCGCAGGAAAGGATAAAGGATAAAAGCTTACTTTGCAGGATTGGACGGCTGAACCCATTGGTAACGAACGCGGAATGTGCCAAGATGCGCAAACCAACAAAAAGCAATGAAAACAAACCGAAAAAAACATGAAAAATGTGACATAAACAAGTTTTAACCTAAAAGGCTAACCTAAAAATTATGGCTTTTGATTTTATTTGTATATGTATTTGGTTTTGGGGCAAATCAAGATATTTCTTTATTTTTGCAATTTGTTGGGAGATTTATTGGCTCCCCACGGTTGATAAATCAGTGGCGTAACGACCGACCGCATTATAATCGCATAAAACGAAGCCGCCCGACGCCCGCGATTGATAATCTCGCAATCTGGATTTAATGAAGCGCAACAGCACATCAAACGCCGCGCGAAGCAATCACGCCCGACGAATTAAATGCTCAATTATGCGCCGATTGATAATTACGCCATCGCGGTATGTAATTACTTGCGTAAAAGCACGCAAACTATATTGGGCATATTGGATTATCCACTATTGCAGAAAATTAAGAACACGCTCATTATAATATAGCCTTACTTACTTCAAAAATATTTACTTAGACACTCTTTCGATTCCAGTACACTATCACCTTTTAGATTTGTTTTTATTTTTGAGGTTCCTGTATATTATTTTATTCGTATTTTAATCCAGACAGGTGTTCACGATAGGCAGCCCAATATGCACTCAACTGATAACATTACAAGTCAAGCAGTGAGCAACACTCGAAATTTATAACGCTTCAACGTTTCACATCAAAGAAAAGGTATGTATAGCGTATAGTCACATAAGATGTTCTTTAATATTGAGTAAAACCAATAATTCATCTATAATACACTTTACAATCAGCAGTTTTTGGAATCATTTCATTGGTAAAGCTAAAGTCAATCACCCATAATAAAAGCACCTACATAAATATAAAACATATGTAGCACCAAAATAAATAATCCACATAAATTCACAATAATTAACTTATTCGATGTGTTTCACATCTTTTAGTTGGCATTTCATATTGGTCATTTCCTTCTGCAGACCAAGCACACTTTCTTTAAGGTTAATTGAAGTTTTTCCTTTGCTTTCACATAAAGTTAAAATTTCTCTTTCATTCGCTAAAATTGGACAGGAATACTTAGTTAGATCAAGTGGCACAACTAATGGCTTCCTCATATTGTACTAAAACAAAAACATCATAAATAAAATACATAAATTTACTCGTAAATTAAAATTACTTTCTGTTTTGCAGCATGAGCATTCAAAGCTGCTTTCATGTCAACCACCAGTCTCTGAAGAAACAGCTTCTCTCTAAGTAAGTCTTGAACTTGTGCTTTCTCTTTCTGATTAAGTCCTTCTAAGGATTTTATTATTATAAGCGCGTTCGATTTTTCGTTTTCAAGTTTTTCGATTAGTGCATGTTGAGTGTTTACTATTGTGCAGTTTGCAATCTGTAAAATCAAAATTTTTATGTTTAAAATTGGCTAAAAACTTAACTTTGGGGTTATAAATATCACCTTGTCATTGTCAAGCTTTTCCTGCTCCATTTTCTTTGTTGTCTCAATGGTACTCAAACATTTCGAGTGCGTCGAAACTAATAATTCGTAATTATTTCGTAACTCATCACAAATAACACGTTCCTCCTTTAAAATATCTTCCTTGTCTTTTAAAACACTCTGTAAACAACTAATACGCTCGCTGTTATTCTTAATACGATTAGTTGCACTGTCTAAATCAATTTGTGATTGAAACAGTTGTAGTTTTTTAGTGTTAAGTTCCTCAATCATGTTTTGTTGTTGATTCTTCAATTGCATATTCTCAATGTGAGTAACATTTGCATCGCGTTTGAATTGTTTTACTTGCTTCAATAATGTGCGATAATGTGATTCATATCTATAATAAAAACAAACAAAAAATAAAAATATAACTCAAAATAATAATTTGTAGGTTAGTTAGTGTAATTCTAACCTCGTTTGTTTATCATTCATTTGGACTTGTTTAATGTGCAGTGCATCAAGAAGTGTTTTAATTTCTTCTTGTAATTTGGTGATTAAATCTTCAGCATTAGCGTTTTTCAATGCCATATTTACACATCGTAATTCAAGTTGTTCATGTAATTTACAATCACTAACAACTTTTTCTTTCTCAGCCATGACACTTTTACAATATTTCTTAATCTCTTCAATTTCTAACTTTAATTTTTCACTATCTTCAACTTTTCCTTCTAAAGTTTTAATCTGTTTGGTATAATTTTCTTCCTTGATGGCAAACTCTTCTATAGCACACTTGTTCCAATTTTCGTACATAAAAGAATCTTGGATTTTCTTTTCCAGCGTTAATATCATTTTATCCTTCACTTTTAATTCTTCTTTAAGTTCATCCTGAAGCGTAACCAACTTATGAAACTTATTCCGCGTTGAATTAATTGTTTCCTGGATCAATAACTTCTCTTTTATTGATGCTTGAAGTTCAATTTTTAATTTACTTTTCTCAGTTTTTAGTTCTAAAGCATTTCGATCTTTTCTCTTAATAGTTTCCAAATAATACTCATTTGTTTCATGCAATTTCTTAATTTTTTCCTCGCACGAAAACCGAATTACTTTTTCATTATCAAATTCTCTTTGTAATACTGTATGTTCCTTGACTAATTCAGTTTTGTCTTTTAATAATTGTGATAATACTTCAGTTTGTTGTGACAGGGATTTTCTCACTGTAGAAATTTCCTTTGAAAGGTCTTCAATCTCAGCCAAATAATACTTAGTGTTAATTTCTGCTTCTTTATCACTTGTAGTTGGTTTTTCTTGGTTTTCTTTTGTTTCAACTAATATAACCGGTTGTTGAATCAATTTCTCTGTGGTTTTATTGGTAAAATGTTTAACATCTTGTAAAGATGCTTCTAATTGAGCTTCCAATCTTGTTATCTCTAACTTTTTGTTCCTTAAACTATTCTTTAGTAAATATAACTCTTTCTGTAACACATTCCTTTCATTATTTGTGTTTGTCCATTCATTTTTATACCAATCAACTGTTCCTTTTGTAGTGGTAAGTTCATTATTTAACGTAGAAACATTGATATTAAATTTAAAGTTTTGCTGTGTCAACTCATGAATATTCTCCTGTTGTTCAGCAATCTTATTCTTTAATTGTAAAATACAACTTTCTCTACACTCCTTGTCACCATTCAATCTATCAATTTCTTTTTGTAATGCTTCAAACTTCAATTTCCATTCGATGTTGTTTCTTTCTAATGCTAAATTCTGTACTTCAAGTTCATGATTGATTTTCTGCAGTAAATTCTCATCAATTGTAGTATGTTTTGTTGGTGTATCATGTTTTCTCCAAATATTCTGTTTGCAGTTGTCAAGTTGTAGTAAAAGGTGTTTTTCTGCATCAGTGGAGCCAAGTTGGCTGCCTCTGAAGTCTGTTTCATCTTCAAATGTGGAAAATCCAGATGCTGAGGATAAACTGGAGTAGTTACCCTCATCGGAGGTGTATTCCTCTCGATCCATACTGTAATTTGGGACACTTAAACACTTGCTGCAATTCTGAACAGGCCGTCAAATTTCCACTTTATGCGACCCATATTGTTTGTCTAGATAATGCGCACGATTTTAATAACGCAGGTTGGGTATTTATTTAGATGTGACATCATTTATGATATTAACTAGGTAAGATTAAGGTGACTTATGTTAATATTTTCGCATTTCTAGTGTGTTTTTGTTATTTGTTTTTGTGTGGGTGAAGGATTTTGTCCTGACAGGTGAAAGTTGCTAAACAAGGCATCAAAATAAATGTCATGTAATTCAGGCAATCATGTCTAAATTCCAGTGTTTAAAATTGCTATTATAACATGTTCTATATAAGACATCTTTAAGAATATGGTAACCTTAATTATTCCCTTGCATATAAAGGACATTTTAATTTAAATATTAGTGCTATTTATTCCAACACTTGGTGCAAAAAGTGCTACACCTCATTTCACTAAAAAGTCAAAAACCAAATTCCCTGTTAGTGTCATTGTGACAAGCAAAAGTTTTGCTGCTTCATCTTCTTAGAGGTTATATTTGTCTGTTTTGCAGTTTGTGCTCGCCGCTCGACGTTAAATTTTCCTCTAAACAACGTTGAATTACAACTGAGGATGATGGTTTCAGCCACTGTGCTTCCGGATGCTGACCGCGAGAAGGCCTTGCAGGAATACCGCAAGAAATTGATGGAGCACAAGGAAGTCGAATCCCGGCTCAAAGAAAGTAAGAACATTTTGTTCAGTTCTCAATAATGACTTCTCAAACTAAATAAATCTGTATGTATTTAGTGCGCGAGCAGTTGAAAGACCTCACAAAACAGTACGACAAGTCCGAGAACGATTTGAAGGCTCTGCAGTCAGTTGGTCAAATTGTGGGTGAAGTTTTGAAACAACTCACTGAGGAAAAATGTATGTAACTCAATTGTTTATGGCTTATATACGTTTCTTATTTATCTTTTTTTGTGCGTTGTCCAGTTATTGTAAAGGCAACAAATGGGCCGCGTTATGTCGTTGGTTGCCGCCGGCAATTGGATAAAACTAAGTTGAAGGCTGGCACCAGAGTTGCATTAGACATGACAACTCTAACAATTATGCGCTATCTGCCGCGTGAAGTTGACCCGTTGGTATACAATATGAGTCATGAAGATCCCGGAGATGTAACTTACTCAGCTATCGGTGGTTTGTCCGAACAAATCCGCGAATTGCGTGAAGTTATTGAGTTACCACTGCTCAATCCTGAACTTTTTATGCGCGTCGGTATCACTCCGCCAAAAGGTAAATTAAAAAAAAAACTCATTCTAGCTTAAGAAATTAACCTAATTTTAATCCTATTAGGTTGCCTGCTGTATGGTCCGCCTGGAACAGGTAAAACTCTGTTGGCTCGCGCTGTGGCCTCACAATTGGACGCAAACTTCCTCAAAGTCGTCTCCAGTGCGATTGTCGATAAATACATCGGTGAATCCGCACGTCTTATTCGTGAGATGTTCAACTACGCTAAAGATCACCAACCCTGCATCATCTTCATGGATGAAATCGACGCTATTGGTGGTAGGAGATTCTCTGAAGGTACTTCTGCTGATCGTGAAATCCAGCGAACTCTTATGGAGCTGCTGAATCAAATGGACGGTTTTGATTCGCTTGGACAGGTAAAAATGATCATGGCGACGAATCGCCCCGATACTCTTGACCCTGCTTTGTTGCGTCCTGGTCGTCTCGATAGAAAAATCGAGATCCCACTGCCTAACGAGCAGGCTAGGCTGGAAATTTTGAAAATTCACGCTGGGCCCATTGCCAAACACGGCGAAACAGACTACGAAGCCATAGTCAAGTTGTCCGATACTTTCAACGGCGCAGATTTAAGGTAAGAAAGTCACTAGATCTAGTGACTTCCCTAAAAACAAAAGTTGTTCATCATCCAACAATCGCCATTTTATTTTTAAATCGTCTAGAAACGTTTGCACTGAAGCTGGATTGTTTGCAATCCGCTCCGATCGCGAGTTCGTCATTCAAGAAGACTTCATGAAAGCAGTACGGAAGGTGTCCGACAACAAGAAGTTAGAGAGCAAACTAGACTACAAACCTGTGTAAATAATCAACGCAGCGCGTCCGAAATGAGAGACGGTTACTAAACACTTATGGTAATGTATTTTTTCTCAATAATCAATATCCGATATAATAAATTTATAATAAAAACAAGCAAAAAGAACATAACACACGGAAAATATCACTTAAAATAATCATCAGATAAAATATCAGTGGCTTCATATCAATTGTCACACAATTTCCCAGTCGGCTAACTCGTCGGTTGGCGAAGTTGGTTGAAATTGCGGTCGTCTCAGTGGCAAAACTGGTATAACTGGTATATTCGCAAATGTTGTAAGTTTTGGAGTTGCAATTGGCTTGATGGGTTCAGAATCCATTAAACTTACGGTTTGAACAGACCACGCGTTTGGAATGTTGCGGCACACTACAATCAATAATTGTAGTCAATAGAAACATGCAGAAATTAGTAGTGATGAACAGGGACTCACTGGAAATTGTCCTACTTATGTCCTAGATGAAAGCGTATAAAATGAAAGTTAGCATGAGGATATTTTACATGCGGTAGTTAATGCGAGATTAACTTTTGTAATAATTTTGTGTACCTGGAATAGTTGATTGGCATTTGTCGGTTGGTTTCACAGTCTTTGAAGTTTCCGGTTTGGGGAATAAGTTCTGATCAACCTCAGGTAACTCATCCAATACCTTGGATGAGGTCTGTAGAATATCATCATTTTTGGTTGGCTTTGTTGCATCTTGTGTGGTTATCATTTGTAATTTGTCCAAGTCAACTTTCACACTGTCAAAGTTTAAAAGTTCCGCTAACAAGTTCTCCTTCTCGCTAATATCATGTTGTAGTGAGTCAGGACTCTTTATATCGATCATTCCCACGGTACTTATGGTCATAAGTGTCGGTTTAATTGTGTATGCATCGATCCTATCTGATCTATCACCTTCTCCTGAACTATTCGAGCTGTAACTACAGATCGACGATGTCATTACATTCTCAGTGGGTGTTTGCTTTCTAGTTTTCTTCTTCTTGCGATGTGTATATCCTATCACTTCATCGTAATCCTTCTCTGAGATTTTATTATATAATTCGAGTTTGCGGTAGATTTGATATGCACGATCCATAGGCCCCTCTGTTGGTGTAACCGGAGTGGTTGGGGTTTTTAACGGAGATTTCTTTGATTCAATTGCTTCCTCAGCTGTGGCAATCGCTGGAGATTTCATGGGGAATGCTGTTTTTGTCGGTGCCGCTGTAATAATCGACGCCGACTGCAACTTGTTGGTTAATTCTTTTAGGGATGTGGTTAAAATTGGTGTAGAAATATTCGAGGTTGGTTGGAAAGGAGCATCAGTATATTCAGGAAATGGTGAGATTCGAATTAAGGAGCGGTCGCTTTCGAGAATGAATATCTCGTCCTTGTGAACGGATACGTCCAGGACTCCACGGAGTTGATTTACGATTCCGATTATTTTCAGATCTTTTACGTTGAGAATATAAACCGTTTGCGAGTTGTGTGTAACTAGATAATTCTCATGAAACTGGTGGATGACTCCAAATGATGGTTCTTTTGTGGTGCGTTTTAAATTCGGTGGCAATGGGTTTAGAATGAAGACTTCTGGGCTTGCATCATTCAATGAATCCTAAAATATTGTGAATTATTTATTTAAAACAAGTTTTTCTTTGAATTATGGAATAATACCTTGAAAAGTATTGTTTTTTCAACTGATCCAGCAAAGTCTGCTTGCCAAATCCTTAATCCAGGCCTTACACAGTATAAAACAAGATCAGTTGGTCCTAAACCATTCTGCATTATTGTTCCACCAAATTTTCCCAATCTAAAAACAATAACTTAAATTTTTTCTGTTTCAATTTAAATATTTGAATCTTACAATTTCCTATCCTTTTTCCCAACTTGACAAACCCTCCACTTGTCCTGTTTCTGGCAAATAATACTCCTATAGGTGGTTGAAACCAGCAATCTCTGCTGTAAATAATTCAATTGCACAACCGCGTAAGCCTCGTCCAAAATTTCACATGATTTACACAAATGCATGTAGAAATCAATCTCTGTTAATACCACATGACCAGTGGCATCACCACTGAACAATTTCATGCCATTTTTACTCCACTCTAATGCAGTTACTTGTCCCTTGTGCATCTCAGAGACTGAGTATCTCTCCACCTGCTTGTCTTTGGGGCGAAGACTAAGCGGTAAACTCTCCGGAGGCACCTTTGGTAGTTGAAATATATTCACATTTCCATCACGATTTCCCACAGCTAACATGTAATCCACAGTTGAGATTACTTTTATACATGTTATAGGAACACTCAGATTCTGGAACAAAATGATTGATATAATGGAATCTATTTAATTATAAAAAGAGTGTTTTTCATACTTCACACTTTAATCTTTCCATATTATGTGTCTTCCTATTGTAAACATAGACAATCCCCAAGTTTGTACCCATGGCAATAAGTTCACTGATGGCATCCATACATGTTAGCTTCAAATCAGAACTGAAGAAGCCCTGGTGTCTAGTGGGCAGTTTTTGAAAGAGATGAGTCAGTGGAGACCATTCCCTAACAACCAGTTCTTCCTCTGCTGATAAAGCCATTGCAAATTATGTTCAACTTCTTTGACACTTTATTTTAACAACAACAGTGGTGATGTCAGACTTGCACTGTTATCTTGTACTTTACTTTTCACATTGTGTGTTAACTATTGTGAGAAATCATATGATAACGCGCTGGTAAACATGATATTGTCAGTTGATTTCCTGCTTTGACTTGTGATGCAGTGATGTTGATGTTCTGGAGAGGTGTCTTCATCTATTGAGCGCAACGCAAAACCGCAATCGACAACGTGAACCGATAACTAGTTGAACTAGTTATCATTTGTCGCGCTGCATTATGTAAATTACTTCGATAATAGGGAACGGTTTGAAGTGAACGAATGCACGATGAGTAATTTGTGATTGTTTGGATTTTTTCGGCGCACTACATACACTAACAGTTCAGAGGCGTCATATGATTTTATTTTAAGGTTAAAGAAGTGGGATTAGTAGTGTTAAAATGGCAAATTCAAGAAAGCACAATAATAATTCAAGTGTGCGTCAACTTTCTGAAATAGCAAACACGTTTCCACCAACAGAAGTTTGTTCAGAAACTTCTAGTGATGTATTTATTTCAAAGGAAGTTTTGAATCCTCATATTTTGTTTGTTGAGCCATTTTACACTGGTTCACATAAAGAATTGATAGACTTACTCCATGATTGTAAGTTAAACTTATCTAAATTATTTAAGTTGTTTGTTTCAAATATTTGAATTGTATATTTAGGGTCTCCAAAGAGTAGACTTATTACTTTGAGTGGTAAAAAATGGCCATGGAGAGCAAGATGTTCAGCTCTCATTCTTTCATCTCATATTCCACAAATCACAACAGAGAAAACAATCTTCTGCAGTTCAGTGTTGTCTTTGGCAGAACTCCTAGGTCTAAGACCAGACCTTCAAAAGCTTAAGAAAATCGTCTATTTTCATGAAAATCAATTTGTTTATCCGATTCGCCAAATTAAAGATAGAGACGTGCAGTATGCCTACAATCAAATTACAACTTGGTAAGTAATTTGCACAATTTCATGGGAATCATAAATATTACATTTAAAATATTATAGTTTAGCTGCGGATGAACTAGTTTTTAATTCAGAGTTTAATCTGCGAAGTTTGCTAGATAATTTGAACAAAGTCGTTAAACTACTACCCGACTATCGCCCGAAGGATATGCAACTCAAAATACAGCCAAAGTGTAAAGTTTTGTATTTTCCTGTTTGGTATCCACTTTTACCTGACGATCAAAGTGAAAATTTAGAGTATTTAACTATAGTATGGCCGCATCGATGGGAATTCGACAAAGCGCCCGAGGTTTTTATCAATATTTTAACGAAATTGAAACAGAAAAATTTGAATTTTCGTGTACACATCCTTGGCGGCAATTTTGCTGATGTGCCTGATGTTTTAAACGACGTCAAGGAGAGTTTAAAAGAAAACATTCTAACTTTTGGTTTTGTGGAAAGCAAGGATGAATATTACGATATATTAATCAATAGTGATGTTGTGGTATCAACAGCTATACATGAATTCTTCGGGGTGGCAATGTAAGTAGATTTAAAATTTAGTTGTGGTTATGTTAATTTTTATTAATATTTGCAAAACACAACAGGTTGGAAGCAATGTGCTACGGTTGCTTCCCGATCGTGCCCAACAAACTAGTGTATCCAGAAATTTACCCACCACAATGCCTTTACAACGATGAAGCTGCAGCAGTGAAAATGTTAACAGATTACTGCAAGAATCCATCAAAGGCTAGAATTGATAGACATGCACTGGATTGTGGCTTTGACTTTGGAAGGTTTGCTTATGGCACTTTAAGGCCACGATATAGGCAATTACTTAAATAAAAAGGTAGAAATGAAAGTCTTCATATAATGTTTCTATTTTTTTGTTTTATTTTTTCATTGCCTGATGTTATCGGCACAGGTATACAGTTACGGTTCAACAATGTTTAAACAATAACAGACTGGCGCCGCTGTTGTTCGGCAGCGCCTCCCAATATTTACAGTACAATAATGTTCACTATCAAAAGAAACAGAACGCTCCGGTGTGCGCCGGAAAAATCAATTGGACACAATTTCTGTAGAAATGAATAGCAACGCCCGAGAGAATCCGGACGCAGCCGTAGGATTTATATTTCTTGCGAACGCGGTCATAGTAAACGGAGTTAAGACTACACGCAGTGTGTGGGGTTGTAAAAATAAATAATGCATCTATAATTTATGTTTTTTTGTTTCGCTCTTGCGTCGTGAGTTGGTTTTTATCGCGAAAATATCGCATTCGGATTGCGGCGTGTGTAAGACGACGGATGCTGGATCGACAGCGATATGCAGCACATCCGGAATGTTAGACAACGCGTGTGTGTAATTTTTTGTGTTTCACTTCAATTCGTTTCGATTTGCTTCGATTAACATTACAATACTAATACGGTACTTTCGCGTGCGTGTACGTACGCCGATGAGCCTTTTAGTTTCAGTTTTCGCTTTTTTTTGTTGCTTGATTTGTTTGTTAATTAATTTAAACTCTCATACTAATACGTCGGCCGCCGATGGGCGAAGACCGGCGGCGATGTTGCTCCTTACAAATAAAACACCTTGCAGTGACGCGATGTTGACGGTGGTTGTTTCTCTCAGTTGTTGGTGGCTTCTTACTTAATTTGCTTTTGCTTACGATCGGTTTTTGCTTAATTTATGAAATTTTGTTACTAACCGCTTAGAACAGCGCCTTGATCTCATCGTATAATACGAGTACGATAGCGCCACCAGTACCGCGGAGCACGTTGGAGAACGCGCCCTTGAAGAAAGCGGCGCCACCTTCCGTCTTGGCGATGGTGGCCCAGCAGTGAGCGGTGCTCTTGTACAGGATCTCGCTCTTGGCGCGGCCAGACTGCATCATCATACGCCTACGCACGGTGTCGAATGGATACGAGATAATACCAGAGATGGTCGTCACGGTCTGCACAAGAAACACAAAAATCATTAATAATCACATCTAAAATTACTCTTGCAGGTTATGCAGCGTAAACTTACCTGAGCAATAGCCCAAGAGATGACCAACGGTGTGTTCTTAGGATCAGGCAGCATACCCTTGGCAGTATCGTAGATACCGAAGAAGGCGGCACGGTAGATGATGATACCCTGTACGGATACACCGAAACCACGGTACAGACCACCAAGACCATCAGCCTTGTAGATCTTGGCCAAGCAGTTGCCGAGACCGGTGAATTCACGATCGCCTCCAGCCTTACCGACATCAGCGGCCAATCTAAACGTAAGCAAAACCATTAATTTCCATTCTGCATTTATCCCAAATATCAAATATTACCTGGTACGGGCGAAATCAAGAGGGTAGACGAAGCACAGAGAGGTGGCACCAGCGGCACCGCCGGAGGCGAGGTTACCGACGAAGTAACGCCAGAATTGAGTGCGCTTGTCGACACCGCTGAGGAAGATCGCCTTGTACTTGTCTTTGAAGGCGAAGTTCAACGCCTGCGTTGGGAAGTAACGGATGACGTTGGCGGTGTTACCACGCCAGTACGCAAGTACACCCTGTTCCTTGGGGATGCGCACGAAGCAATCTACCATACCTGCAAAACATCATTCATAAACGTAAGTAATATTCCCTTACTTAGAAATCTGGTTGCAAATGAAAGGAAAAGTACATAGATATAATGCAAATCATACATTTCGTAATGATTGCGTCGCTAATTTATTAATCATCATCCGCGTAAGCGATAAGAAGTGATAAGCAGCATCAGCAGCGCGTGGAAAAAATTAGAATTTATTACGAGTGTAATGACAGCGAATTGTACACGTAGCAGAGTATGCTACGACGCGCGCCAGCCGCGCTAGTAACCTTCGAATGACGTAGCCGTTAAATAATTAGACCCTCGGCCGGCTTATATAATACATTTGGCACTAGCCAGCAAGCGTGTGTGCGTAATGCATCGAATTCTATAAAAAAAGTCCACGCGTTTGACGTGCACGCGCTTGTTGTAATCGAAGAGAATTTTAAATTTAAATACATTTTGCATGCTTTGATGGATGAATGCGAATCGGCAACGTGTGTCTGCCGCGCGGTATATCCGGTTTTTGCCGGCCGTCTGTCCGCCATCTTGTTCGCGCCGACCATGTGGTTTGTCGCTAGCGCGTCGTCGTTATTTCAAAACGCAATGTTGAGATAAGCTTTATCGCGATTGCATTATTGTTGAGGAGTGTGATAATCACGAGGTTTGGCGAGACTTGCCCGACTTTCAGGGATGTAATAAAAATGTCTCGGCCGACATTGGGAGCAAGCGGGCAAGGTGGAAATTATATAACGCTGCGTGACCGCGCGTGCGCCACCTGATAAATCAATACTTTTATGGAGCCGGTTAAAATGGCTAGACACACGTTTTTTGGGTTTTGGATTTAATTTTTAAATACTTTTAAGATGTTTAAATGTCCAATTTAAATTGCAAAAACGCTGAATTTCATTCTATGATGATTTGTCATCGGGTTGCTTAACCGTGCCCTAATTACCTATTTAAAATTGGGTTAGCGAGTCCAAGGTACGCCGCGATGGAAAATTAAATTTAGCCCAACGGATTTATTACTGCTGTAGGTTCAATCCACCGCTGACTTAAGTCCTAACAGTACTTGCGCTAAATAATGGCTGCCTTTACAATGAATTGATCCCACATCCCGTTACCGCACGGCTTACGTAACGCTCGATTTTTCTGCCTTTGATAATGGCACGCCACGTGTTCCGATAATTTTCGCGCTTTTTTTCAATGGCAGCTTACATGCCGCCGTACTTACCCTTGTAACGCTGTGCCTCGGAGATCTGCTTGGAGATGTGTTGCACTTGAAGGAGCAGCTTGACGCGCTCAATGGGCGCGACAGCCGTCTTGGAGATGGCGGCGGAGATACCGCCAGCCATGAAGTCCTTCACGAAACCCATAGGATCCATCGACATCTTGAATGTGTGTTGGGTGTTTCGGCTGTTACTGGCTCAAAACGAAATGGTACCAAGCGGTATGGTAGAGTTTGTGGGCGTACGTCGTCTCAGATCACGCACCGGACTGCAAGTGATGACTGGGAGCGGAAGGCGGCCGCGTAGACCATATCAAAGAACGGGAGGTCGACGGTAGCCGGAGTGGTGGTAATCGCGAGTATGCGCAATCGTAAGCAAAGTCACATGCCGGCAAAGCGGGAAGGTCCCGGGTGGAGTCGAGAATAGATTTTTACGTCACCATTAGGCGCGAACTTGCGCGAGCGGGCGCCATTCATTTTTGAAATTGGCGCTTCGATACATGTTAATCGCACGCAAAACGATTAGGTAATCGTTAATCGCCCACCCGGTATCGATGACTTATGACTTTGTCCGAGTGGTGACCGCTCGCTTAGTTCCAGCGTGTAGGTTACTACTTTTCGCCTGAGACGTTTTTGGGACGTAGTAAAGCGTCTCCTTGAGATTGCACCAAGGCCATTGCGTTATCTCGCAAGTTCACGTAGTTCTCCAGTTAACGCGATGCTAAAATTTTAGCGCAATTATCGTAAAATAGTAAAAGTAGTTTGATGTGAACGAACCAGACTTAAGTCTGTCGGCAACATGGCAACCATGTTTTAGTCAGTTATTTGCGCGGTCAGAGAACAATTGCATGCCCTAGCACAAAGTCGACTTAATTTGCTTTTTAATCAACGCGTACTCAAGTCCGACTCAATGAAAAATTCCGACGATAACTGCACATTTTTTATTTGGGCATGATTTGACGTTGGAATTTAGCATAAGTGGCTGCGGAATACGCTGAAAGTGCGTTTAATATTTGGATAAACCGTATCGCGTGTCGCTGTGTGTCGCAATTGCGTCTGTCGTTGATAAGATAAACAAATCGCGCGAAAATTGATATACGTGCGTTTTTTGACTGCTGATGAAATCAGATATTTATTGCAATTAAAAAATCTTTAATCTGATTACGGGTAGTTACAAGTTACAACATCGTGAAACTTTCCACGTGTTTGTTTATTTGCACTTTCTATTCTTATCTAATTTAAGAAAAATGATTTTCCACATAACGATTTTTTTATTTTTTGGCGTGTTTACAAATACATGTATGTGTATTATGATTGCGTTTATGTATGCTATGTGAAGAAAATGCAAATGTTAAGCATGTGCGCACGATCTGACCGAGCGTCCTTTTGGCCTTGCGCGAATCTCGCGTTTGTATTCGATCAATTTGGCACAGGCGTCGCAAGGACACGTTACGGATTGCACTCGGACTTAAGTGCGGGTTTCACCGTCTTGTGCAAAATTAGCATAAGGGCACTGGGACATACGGCAGCCGATTGACTTTGACACGGCATGCGCGTTAGCAATAAGTTATCTAACGATCCACCGACCTGCGTCCAAATGATTTACACGTGCCTGTTTGTCGTTGGGCAAGTTTCGGAAAATGTCAATAAGTCAATGCTCTTTATGACTATTTTAGGTGTATTTATTTAAGGAGACATTATTAATAACAATGCAAAATTAGATATTTTGGTTATTCTTAGATAGTTGGAGTAGTTTTTATTATTGATCAAACAGTTGCCTATGTTGGGGACGCCGCCATTGATAAATCAAATAATTTTCGTCTTCTTTATATACAAAATTGGTTATGCAACGCGTTTTTATAGTGTTGAAGATTTGACATGTCGCATATTTAATAATAATTATCGTGTGAAAGAAGAATGCGCACATTCTTTTGATTAGTATGATAATATTTTCCAATTCGTTTTGTTGTGGACCAAAAAATGTGATACCTAAAACATAGAATTGTTAGGCAATGCCAAAAACAAAATAGGTTTGTGTTTCACATCACAAATGTTCCTTTTTGGTTGTTTGTTGTTGGGTAATTGCAGCAAATTGCTGATGATTAACACAGATCTCTAGTTTTCGTCAAAAATAAAATGATAATGTCATATTTTCACCAGAGTTCAGCTCAATTTGAATGGCTAATTTAATAAATTATAATTTTGAGGCAAAGTAACTTTACGCCATTATGGAAAAGTAAAAATTTTCCTGTCCGCCATATTTACTAACTTTGCAAGAATACAGGTAACCAAAAAATTAATAAACTTTCTAATTAAACTAAAGTTTTCCATTCTGGCGGGAGAAAAATAATGAAACACCTTACATTCACTTAACAACAATATTTATTCATGAAATAGTTGTTTTACTTGGTAATACCGATACATTTTATATATCCTCTGACAAAACAAATATATAAATACCACCAAATAGTAGTTTGTAGCGTTTGTAGCTCGTAGCTGCACTGCAGTTGAAATCTGTGAGTGTATAACATCGAAATACTGACTGATTACACCAAGATATATCGAAAATAGAAAATAAATAAGGTCGCATTAAATGCCGTCGCAGTTCGCGTGTAGTGAGAATTCACTTGGAATGAAAACGAAATAAAAATATACATAAAAAAAAAATAAATGATCAATAATGTACCATGCAGATATGCGCGTGTGTCTTAATTCTTAATTTTTGTTACTCCAAAAAGTTGACCAAAACGAGTACAAAAGCTAACTTGCCAATATTAATTTGATACATAATCTAAACTCCATTTTCTAATAACATTATTATCATGGTTCACTTTACATTTAAATGTTTAGTTTATAACAGAATTTCCTAGTACTGGTCCTTGAATATTAGTTCTAAATCTTTCTCTATAACACTTTATAAGTTACGCCGACTCTAAAGGTACATAAACTCTAATATATACATTAACACTTGCGTTTTTGTTTTTGTTTTCAGTATAGTCATGTACAGTCAAGACAAGATGAAGACCTGAGGTGGTGTTTGAGACACATGGACACAACAACAATCATCAATAAAATGGTATGTGTCAAGTTGAGTTATTGAAATGCGCGTTAAATGCGAGGAAATCAGAATATTTTGTGAGATTGCTGAGCATGAGCATTATGTGGCCATATTTGTTGCTGTGACAAGTAAGTCTAGGTCTTGGCGAAATTAAAGATTCCTGCATATCCGTAATCGCCTGACTAGTAGACAGCTGGACGTCAAGCCGCAGGAAGTTTTCGCCAGTTCCGTTATTTCCAGTGATCTTCTTGAATCGATTTTATCACAAAATACCTACAACATGCATAGTATGCATTATTATAAAGATAGGCAACCCAATTTACGTAATTTCGTTGAATAATGCGCTTATTTGTTTGTTACCTGATAGGATTTTGGTATTTCTCCCTCGGATCGATGCACAAGCGTTCCGTTCAAGTATAAAACGTTGGCCGCTTCGTCCTCGGGTAGCGTGATGGTCTGATAACTATAGGTAGCTTCACGTTCCATGCGTTTAAGGACTTCCTGGCATTCCTTGCCGGCGCCCACACAGAGCAAGCAAGGACCGCCCATAGTCACGTAAGACTTTAGTTTGCGTGGAGAAGGAATCTAAAACGTAAGTTATTAATAAAACAACCATTTTTACAGAATAATGCATAGATAAACTTATTATATCATGCATTAAATTTTAAAATAGTGCTAGACTGTGATAAAAGTTGTAAAATTGTCGAAATTGAGACGGCGTGTTTGCTGCTGTGAGCGATGGCTGGCAAATACTGATCTCACACGATCTCACGACCATGCGGCCTCACCTCCAGCACACCGTTACTCAGATCTCGCAGAATCAACTCCTCTGGCTTTACCTTTATCGGTGTGCATGGATATTCAGGGAAGGCAGAGGCCACAGCGCGTGCGCCACCCTCGTTCGTCCATTCAGACAACCCAACAAAGAATTCTTGTCCTTAAAGTAAATTATTTGTTTAAAAAGTTAATATTTTACCTAAAATTTCATAGTTTACCTGTAAAAAGGACATCGCCGCCATCTAACTTCGCATTAGGATCCTGAATCTCAATAATTGGCAGGTCTAGTTCTTTCTTTAGCACCACTCGAATTGTTTCCACCTGAAATTTAAAGGAAAATAGTTAAATATAGATAGAGTAACTTATTAACTAAATTAAAGATGAAAATTAACAGGTTTTACTTAATTGGCCATAAGTTTGTTAGAATTTATTTGGATATTTCATATCATAACATAGAATGTATATAACACACAGTTTAATATTAGAAACGTTTATTTTTCTTGGATCGGCTTAGTTGTATTCCTGGGAATCCGCATCGTAAACAACTCCAACCGATTTGCGCCACGCGTCCATCTGTTCAGCAAGTTGTAGGGATTCGGCGTGTGTAACAGTTGGCGACTCTTTCTTTCCGCCCAAAATGCACTGCCGACATTCTGCAGCTTCATAAGACAAACCCACGGAATTCAGGAAATTGAACGTGTCCTTGCTTTCCGGCAGCTTTGCCTCGAAATGGAGCGCATCTTTAAGGTAAAGTTTTGACGGGCACCAGAATTGTGGGATCTAAAAATGTATCCGTAGGTGTAAAAACAATTTGTATAATTGTTTTCTTTTTCTTACTCTAATAGTGCCTTTTGTGCCAACAGCAACCGCCTCATTGGGCAACTCCACTGTTGTATTGATGGTCAACACTGCACTCTTGTTATTTTCATATTGGATAATACAAGATGCGCTGTTGTCAACACCCTGTGCATTGAGGAAACCTGTGGAAGTGAAACTTATCGCTTTCGCACCCCTGTAGACGTACTGTGCGAATTGAAGGGCGTAAACGCCGATGTCGAGGATTCCACTGCCGCCCTGGTCCTTTACGCTGTTCCACAAGATTGAGTAAGTTTAAATTTATTTCACGCGTCAATTTTGTAAGTGTATACCTTACTCTGGAGACATGCTCCAGCGGGAAACCGAAGTTGACGTTGACGACTTGCACGTCACCGATCACTCCGCTCTGGATAAGTTCAGCGAGTTTCTTATACACCGGAAAACTGCGACTCCAGATGGCCTCCATGAAGAATACGCCTTTCTCATGGGCGTGTTTCATTAAAGATTCAGTCTGCTTCTTGTTCATTGTCAGTGGCTTCTCGCAAAGGACATTCTTGCCGGCATCAATCATCAATTTAGCAATTTCGTAGTGCTTTGTGTTGATGGCACCAATATAGACGATGTCTATTAACGGTCAAAGCAAACTTTTAACTGATTTATAGTTAATAAGTCTAATGACTTACCAAGTTCTGTATCATGGGCAATTTCGGCATAGCTTCCGTATGACTTGGCAATGCCATGTTCGAAGGCGAATTTTTTCGCATCGTCGATGTTACGCGCTGCGACAGCGACAACCTGATGCTCACTCGGTGGCAATACTTTTATACCACAGACAAAATCATGACAGATTTTTCCGGCGCTGACAATACCCCAACGTAGACACTTTGTAGACATTTTTGTTGTTGTTTTGTAGCGGTTTAGTCTTCTATCGTAGCCCTGACTGATCACAAAGTGGTTTGCGCCGGCGTTTTACGTAATAACGTGTTTATCAATCGCAAATCCCCACCAAACAGCAAATATTACGCCACTTATTATGTAGTTTCAAGTGTTTTGGTAATTATGATCGCAGTTTTGATAAAAATGACAGATCGCACGTGGGTCACATGTGGTCACATGCATGTTACACGTTCAACAAACATGTACGTTGTGTTGCATAATGCAACAGTAAGAAACTGCAACCATCTTTTATGTAACCATGACAACAACCCAAAAAAAAAAAACAGAGTTGTTTGTCAGACATCAATAGTTTAGTGTAGTGATAATTCGGTGAATTAATTCGTAGCTGTGCGCAGTTTAGTGTCGGTGGTATGCCGGTGAGTTTTTATTACGTAGGCGCGCGCGGCGGTGATGTATAAAATAGTATGTCATTTTTATTATAATTTTATTCATTGGAGCAGGCAAACACACAATGCCTCTCAATGGACGCGCTTTATTGAAACGACCTTTTCTGCCAGTGCCAGCTCAGCGCTAGCAAATAGTAGCAAACTGTCTCGTAATTCTCATATACAAGTTGACAGTGTATTTGCTGATGGTGTGACCTCGCCGATGAAAATGTGCGCCTTCAATTTCAGCGAATTATTTGTTGTCTTGCTAGCGTCATGCACGTACGCGCGAAACTGGTTCAATGCACGCGCTGAACTAATTTCCAAATTAACTCTAAACTATCACATATATCATAACATGAGGCTTATTTGGTAGCTGGCGGCAAGTAACAACTTGCAACAAAAGAATAACGAGAAGGAAATGTGTAACGTTCATAACGGTAGCAGCGCGATGGAATGAAACTCATGAAAGTTGTATGATTGCTGCCGGTGCTACGCTACCTGCCAACTCGTTCGACATTCGCCTTGAATTTAAAACAAAGCGAAAACATCGCACACCTTATCAACTGAATGGTTGTAATGTAGTAGTATGGCAGGTAGTGCTTCCCACACACGGAGATAACAAAAAATAAAACAAAGGCTATGGTAAAATTAAGGTTTGGTTTGGTTTTGTTAAAATTAGCGCGCAACTATTGATTTTTCATTTAAATTGGAGCGCGCGCGCTCCAAACTTCAGTTTCACTCAGTTTGAATTTGTTGCGTGCGGGACGTAACGTAACAAATTATGCAAACTAGGCAATTAACCGGTGGACGTGTATAAAAATAAAGATCACGGCCATGCTTTTTGCATTTGCATGCGAGAGAGAGAGGTTTATTTATGGCATTACACACTCGCAATTTCCTTATTGATTTACGCTCCCGACACCGCCACACATCGCGCGCGAATTCCATATCTCTGCATCTCGTTAGCAGCGCAGATGCTTACAAGTTGGTCAAGTCATGTCAATGTAAACAAACACTGTTTGATTTGTAATTTGTCCTAAATGTATGCGTATTTCTAAGTGAAATTTCTCATTTTCGGTGCGTTGATCTTCGTTTGTTATCGCTCACCTCTTTCTCACGATGCGGTGCACCGGGGCGCGCAATCAGTGCGATGCCGTTGCATATCACGGCGGTGTCCTCGACGAAGACGCACTCGGGCAGCGACTCGTCGGGTGGTAGCTCGATGACGTCGAGGCCGAGTTCGCGCAGCAGGCGCACGTACGCTTCGTGCTGGCGGCGCGCGAGCTCCAGGTCAATTTCACCGCGCGTTCGTAATGATAGCGGGATGCGGCTGACGACGGCGTGCGTATAGCGACCGGTCGCCATGTTCCAGGGCAACGCGTGTTCACCGCCGATGAGGCACCGAGTCTGACTGGCAGCTGGTCGCAGCTCGCGCGCGTCGCTGCTCGCCTCCAGCGCCAGCGCAGACGAGCGGGGACGCCGCTCTTGCTCCCTTCGATTGTGCAACACCACAGTGGTGTCGTGATGCATTCAAACTTGCTCTGGAGGTTTAACAATGGAGAAGATTTATTGTGACTTGTATTGTTACATGTTATTAGCTGTTTTCGCCGTGATATATTCGCTAAAACTTCTCCCTGATGTGTTTTAGGGTTAGTTCTTTAACCTAAAATAGGAAATGAATGTTAACTACTCATGTCATGTTGGTTGCGTGTTATACTCACCAGAATATTAGGTTTTGTTGATAAAATAAACATCACGCCATCAACAACATCCTCTGGATCCATTCCATTTGGATTTGTGGTGTCACCGCCATCTTTATGAATGTCTGTGTAGACATAACCAGGACTGAGGCTCTAATAAACAGGAAATTATTATTTAATCTCTTTAGCAACATAAATTTTATACAATTTCCGATTCTTATTTACTCCATAATCTTTAGTTTATTTTTTAGTTGATTAAAAGGCACTCACGGTAATTTTTATATCAGTTCCCAAATAAACCATCTCCTGTCGGAATTGCTCCGTTGCTGCAGTCACAGCGTGTTTACTGGCAGGATAAATCCCCATGATAGGTTTTTCCATGCTGGGAATGTAGTGACCGGCTACGCTGTTGATATTGATGATTTGTCCGTTGATTTTCTTTTCGCGCATGTGTGCGATTACTTCTTTCGTTGCAATACACAGAGCCATCAAGTTGGTGTCGATTAGAATTTTCCAGGAGTCGTTATCCTGCTCTAAATACAAAAAATGTTAGAAAAGTAATTTCTTAATTGAGGTTAGGAACTAACCTGACATTAAATCGAAATTGGCAACTCCTGCATTGTTGATTAATATGTGTATATCGCCAACTTTGGCAATAATATCTTGAATTTGTTCTCGTCAGTAATATCAAAACAATAAGTGATAATGTTTGGATTTTCAGCAGATAAATTTTTCAGAACGTCTTCTCGTCGCGCGATAGCAATTGTCTAGAAAAACATTTATTTATATAAGCATGTTATGTCTGCAATACAATGATTTAAAACACTTTTCTTACTTTAATTCCTTCATTTGCTAGTTTGATGGTTATTGCTCTGCCGATGCCGGCACTCGCTCCAGTGACAATTGCGACTTTACTTCGCCAGCGATCCATTGCAACTGGAATTATAAGTACATACACATGTAAAACTGTTTAGGTGTTTATGCTATTATTTGAGATGCAATTCGAGTTATGTTTCAGCGTCACATACCGCACTCGAGGCACTCCAGTCAAGTCCAGTCTAAATATAACGATAACGCAACGACAAGCAAAATAGTTTAAAATTATGCGTTGAAAGTTATTTTAAGTTTATTTTAAATAATTGTTTGATAAACTTAGTATTTTATTATATTGTTATTTATATATAACAAGATTTTAAAACTTTGATATGGCTTGAAAGCTGTCAGAGTTAATTATGAAGTTTAAAATATTTGAAATTTGATTCATTTCCGAGCATGAAATTTTTAAGGTTAGAACCGTCAGTTTAGTTTGCTCCGTTTGGTGCTGTACAAATTTTATCATTCTCAAATCGCGTATATTTATCTGGTATATATTTAACAAAATGGACTTGTTGGAGACAGTTTTACGGACGGCGAACGCCTTTGAACACATTGAAAAATTTCGTAAAGAAGGAATTAATGCCACAGCCTTACAATTACTAACCGACAACGATTTGGAAATCATTGGCATTGATGATCCAAAAGTGCGTAATAAAATTTTAAAAACTGCAGAACATTTACAAGTTGCCTCGGAGTGAGTACAAATACTTATTATCGTTCATTTTACCTGTATAAACTACAAACTATTACAACCATCATTCTATTTTTATGTTTTAGAAAAAGAGTTGAGTTGAAGTTTGACAAAATGTATGTAAACACTGCACTAGCAGAAATTAAAAATCAAATGTTATTGTATAACGCGACTTACACACCGATGGTTTTACGGCCTGATGTTATCAATGTCACTGTACCATTGGCAAATGCTTGTGAAGCACTTTCAACAGCAATTGATGATCTACACCAGGAAGTGATGACATTTAAAAATCATGTTTTGAGTGAGAAAGGCTTAGTGAAAACAGACAAGGACAAATTGACCTGTGTTATTTCTGGCATCTTGCTTAGCGTTTTTGTGGTGACCAATATGTTTGTTGTGAAGAAAATTGTATCTCTGATTCGACAATGAGTCTTGAGGACAGAAATTTCAAGTTAAGTTTGAAGAAATCTCATGTAAAAGTTTATCAAATGTATTTTTAAGGTATAAAATTTATTTTTCTACAGAAATAAATAAACTTAAGTTTGAATTTATGTTATAATCTCGCAGTTAAAATATTATTTTTGATAATAGAAATTTAAGTCTGGAATGTGAACGAAACGTTTCGTTTTTGTGTATGTTAGGTTGCATACGGTCGAGTGCTAATCGACATTGGGTTGAATTCGTTGAGTGGACACCTGAGAGTCAACTCGGCGGTTTTAATCCCAAAAAGACGGTTCAAAGCATTTATTTATACATAGCAACGCTGTAGAAGACACCTTCTGTTAAGGTACGCTCAATACTTCAGTTTTCTGTTGCAATCTTTTGAAATTTAATGTTAACGTTGTGCTTTTTAGCGTCGTGACGTGGAGCCAGGACGTGAAGGTTATGAGCGTTTATTTTAAAATAACACTCTTTTTAAATATACTAGGAGCCTAACAGGGAAGAAAACAATAGTTTGTCACCATGTTTGAAATAACAGACACACAGAGTAAGTGATCATTTATATAAATACATATTATATTTGATTGTTTATTTTCTATTATGAATTTACAGAAATAGGTGTTGGTTTGGCTGGATTTGGGATGTTTTTCCTCTTCCTGGGAATGATACTTTTGTTTGACAAGAGTTTACTGGCCTTAGGAAATGTAAGAATTGTATAAATGTCAAAAATTCAATTATTTATTATGTTTGTTGGTTTTAGATTCTATTTATTTGTGGTTTAGCATGTGTAATAGGTCTGGAGAGAACATTCAGATTTTTCTTCCAAAGACACAAAGTGAAGGCATCAATTGCATTCCTTGGTGGCATTTTTATTGTGTTGTTTGGCTATCCTCTTATTGGGATGCTGGTGGAAACATATGGATTTGTTCTGCTGTTTAGTGGGTTCTTCCCAGTTGCCATCAATTTCCTAAGGAGAGTTCCTTTGATTGGCACCTTCTTAAATTTACCTGGTATTAGTGGGGTAAGTAAAATTTTGTTTTAGTTTGGTTTGATTATTTTACGGAATTTGCGTTATTTCGTCATTTTTCGTTTTGTTTATTATAAAATTTGTTTGTTTACGAACACATGTATTACACGAACATTTTTCTAGGTAGTTGACAAACTGGCTGGAGAATCGGGCCGGACCAGAGTGTAATGATGATCCATTTAAGTAATTAATTTATGCATGATCATAGTGAATACATTTCATCGAACGGGAACCACGATATGGGGGCGTCGGTGAAATGAACAAACGGGAATGAAGTTTTGTATGCAGTGCGTGGACACTTAACTGTATGTAAGTTTGTTTTTGTACAATCAAGTTAATTAAGACAATTAATCTAGAAAACAAATTGAATATAACAAAATCCGTATAAACTTGTTTTATTTCTACATGTATAGTGGGTTGCCTGCCATACAGTTGCGATTCAGATATTTCGTGTTCTTCGTCAAGCCATAAACGCATCAAACCTATGACGAAATACAAACCACTATTGTTATCATGTATATTAATAAATATTAAATATGATAGCAGTTTTGTGAGCTCGTAAACGATGATTCATCGCGTGCGTGAATGTGCTTGAATTGCGTTCGGAAAAAAGAGCCAAACTCCTAATTAAATAATAAGCGGGTTTTGTACATTGTCTGAGGGAACAATTTATACATTGTCTGGCTGTGGGACACATTTGTATCGGACTGATGGAAGAGTTCTTTCGGTCGGTTTTAATGTTTAATTGCGTGATTACGATTGTTGATGTTGCGAGGAGAGGCGAGACGCATAAAGAATAGATTAAAGCTACGCGCACACGCATTGAAATGCAACGCGATGTAAAAAGTAAAGAATGACCACACGGGTAGGACGGATTGATGTGCATGTGCGAAGAGTCGAAGATACGTTGGGAGAGGACGAGAAAAAAGGGTGGGTCAATGCCCACGCGAATGCATTTTAAGTGCATGCAATAACAATAACAAATGATGTACGCTTGAATACGCTCAGAGCTGGTAATTTTTGGCAAGGCGAAAAGCGATTAGAAAATATTAGAGCCTTGACTTTGAATTGCTCTTAGATCTCATACGCAGACGTCGTTGACACTGAAATTGTTGAGGAGTGCACGCGGCGCTCGTAATTAAAGTCATAAAATGATAAAATGGCGAGAACGCGTGGGCGAGAGATGCGTTTATGCGTAGGTCATGAATTTACAGCTTTAATTTAATAAAGTCACATTGAGAGCAGAATTTATTGCATAAATTGGTGCATTTAAACGACTGTTTCGGGCAATTTCGAGATTCGAGATGTTTTTAGCATTATCACAGCGTGTACGCTGCTTTTAGCTGGTATTAGTGAGGGTGGGGCTCGTCTTCTTTACGTACAGTTGGCAACAATGCAGCCCAACACCCGGTTCTTTCCCCTCGTGGTAAGAGCTGCGCCGGCCGGCATGCGGTAATCTAATGAACTAAACGTTAGACGAAGATAAGCGATATTATTCGCATGTGACGCGAGAGAGAAGGATACTGAGAAGTCTTTGGTGCTGCGTAGCGCTGACATCGGCGCGTCCCTTCGCGCACAGTGCGCTCTCCGGCGTTGTCGATCCCTCCTCTGCTTCTTCGTCAGACTCTCAACTCGCCGCAGCCCGCGCGCTCGCCGCTCGCTCAGTCACCGTCAGTTGCTCGTTCTGGTCGTGCGTACACGCGCATAGTTTAGTGCCGCCACACAAGAAGCGCCGCAGCAGAAAAACACAAAGAACGAAAAAAGCACTACCAGCGAACGCAATGGCAACCGAAGTCGAGAATACCGTGCCCGCGCCGGAGACGAAGGATATCAAGGAGGAAGCGCCCGCCGCCGCCGACGCTAAAGCCGAAGAGGCGAAGAAGGAGGAGGCCGCCGCTGAGGGTGCAGCGCCTGCCGTCGCTGCTGCTAAGGAGCCAGCACCACCCAAGGTCGTCGTGCACAAGAGCGCCTTCGAGAAGGACGTCGTCTATCTGTATCAGTTCTCGCGCACGCCGCTTCTGCCCTCGCTGTCGCCCTACTGCCTCAAGGTGGAGACTTGGTTGCGTCTTGCCGGCACCAAATACGAAGTAAGTGCATTTAAACTTTAAATCAATCAGGTAAATTCCAATATTTCATTGAGAAGAAATCGTATTGCATTTATTTTAACGCAATTGTATTCGGACGGTATCGCACACATTCGTGCAAGGGGCGAACTCGGCAACGCATAGGGTTGTTGCCCCGGCGCACCGGGAGCGAGACGGACTTATGCTACCCCGCGTTGAACAAACAGAGAGCGCAGTATAGAGCTCTCAGGGAGCGTTCGTAGCGAGGGTCCGGCGTGCACGTACGCATCCAGGCATCGCCGGCGCATGAAGTAACATGGCGGCCCTTGCCTGAAATTCGCCGCCATTTTCATACGTTCCGTATGCGCGCCGCACGCCCGTAGTAACACATTTTCTACGATTCAAAATGTTTTTTCTTGCCCTAAACAAACACACACATCTGCTTGTTGTAATCTAAATTTGAATCTTGTTCGTGAAACTATTCATACTCAATAAAGTATGATAGGGACTCACAATAGATTAATAGATTCAATTTTGATCAGACAATGGACGATGGCGTTTAATCGACGCCCGTATCGTAACAAAATCGAATTGAAAATCCATTTATCAATAATTACGCCTGTTTTTTTGTCTTGCACTATGTGTGCGGGTGGTAATTTAAAGTCATGTTCGACAAAAAAGCTGAATTTATTCATGTCACAAGTGAGATAAATGTGCTCTCATCTTTGAATGACATTTACATGACTTTAAAACGCGTCTATTTCCATTCCATTTCACGTTGTGTTGTCTGTGCGCAGTATGCGCAGATAAAAATCGTGGGCGCGACCGCTCACGATTTACATATCAATTAGAGAAAATTGCGATTGCGATAACACGATGGATGGCCCAATCACACACACACACGTTCAATGAATGCAGCTTTACTAAACGAAGTGTGTTGGTGGCTGAAATTTTTACGTTTTGATAATGTTTCAATTTATGCGAATGCGATTACATCATTGTTTCAGTCAGTCATAGTTGATGATAATCCGTATTATGATTAATGATTTCAGTTAATACAACAGTCGTCATGGCATCCGTGGAAAAAAGGAATTTAAATCCATTAATAACAAGTTTGTTTGATTAACTATAAAGTTTTTGCAGTTGAATGTAATCTAAGACGCGCGCCGTTCGAGTGTCCGCTGCGCGCTCATTATGTTGGTGCACAATTTATAATTGTTCCAGCAATAAGACACACAGCGTCGCGGGAATTATGTTCTCGCATATCATAATAATCGTGTACACTGTACACAATCGGCGAGTTATGATGAATAGCACCCGTTGTTTTCGTTTATCGCTGCGGAATGCTGCGCATACTGCACTTATTAAAACCTCTTCGTACACTTTGTAGATTAATTGATGTGTATACAAGTCTGGAATGCGTTCGTTATCACGTTGTTTTCGATGCTTGGCTGGTAGGTCGCGTGAGGAGAGAAAAAACATGTGAAAAATCGAGATATAAATAGACACAACAGCGCGTCTTCTGGATCGCGCCCGCGTTAATATACATAAACAAACTGTAAATAATTTTAATTTCACTTCGCCGTCTCTTGGGTTGTGGCGCGTATGCGTGTTGAATAACGAGACGGGCGTGCGCGTCCAATAAAATAAACATGACTTTACAAGGGAAACTCGGCTTGAATAAACTTTCGAAACGAATCGGCTTCGAGCTGAAAATGGAAATAGTCATTCACCGCAGAAAGGGACAATATTTTCCTATTGAATCATTTCGACGTCTACACAAACTCTTCAAGTTAAATATTTGACAAGCATGCGCTTTTTTACTGATAACATTACAATTTCTAATTTCGTATCAGAATCTTATGGATTCCAAGCATGCGCAGGATGTTTATCTGCTTGCATATGAAATATTTCTACAGATAAAATGCTTGTCCTCTGCTAGAGGTGATTGTTTATTCTTGTTTGTGCTTGGTAACATCACGTTCGATTTTTTCTGTGCTCTGTACGCCGTACTTTATCTTAAAATTACTTTAACGCTTTGACTGAAGCACATTGCGCCTACCATCTCCTGATCTCTTGCTGTAATCTTATAAAATGAAGCGTGAAACTAAGAATCGAGTCATGTTTTCCAACACGTTGCACACTCATCTGCGAGTATTAAAGTTACGCTGGTAATGTTACATGCTGTGGCAATGCTTCACTCTTCGTATATTACTTTGGTGATGTTCAAAGTTTTAAGCTTATTACATTTCCAAGTGTGGCGGCGCAGGTGAACGCAAAACGAGAGAAGAGAACACTAATTACGGAGCTTCGAGACTTGTGTCTGCAGTTTAAACTTGAATTTCTATGATCTACGCTGACGACCAACGCACGTACCTCTACATCTAGCTTATTCCTTTCTAATAATGAAGATAAAGAACTTTATAAGCATTCTTTACGAAGAAAGAAATTAGTATCAGTCGTAATGGTAATCGTAAAAAGATGTTAACTCCGGAGTTCACGTCAAGTTTCAAACTTGAACTTTTATATTTGAGCGGTAATTTACTAGGGCGTGGCTTTTTTAAAACTTTACTTGTCTTCTCTTGTCTGGTCGTCGTTTAAATCATTTCAATTAACTCCATGCAACACACCAAAATACGAGTTTGAATTTCTTCAAGTTTATTAACCATTGGAGCTTATCAAACAGAAGAGTTTGAAAGTATTTAAATTGTGTGCCCTGCGTGCACTTTATTATAATTTTATTACGCTCGTTAATTAATTCCTGGTCGACGCGAGATGCCGAGCAGCGAGGAGTCTGCGAGTCTAGCGCTCGCAGGCACTTTGAAATTGTTTGGTTGTGTCGACGAGGAGTTTTCGCCATCGTCGTCGTGCGCGACGGAATTCGCTGTAGCTCGCCGATAAAAGCCATCCGGTGCGCGGCCATTCAAGCGTGAATCACAATGTGGCGAACGCGACGGGCAATTTATGGCGCAAATGCGAAAAAATTAGCGCCGCACGCGGAGATCTTGCTTTTATTGCGCATTAAACATGTTCCAAAAAAAGTTTTATTTATATTTAGGTACAAGTAATATGCCTGCATGGGTTTCGAATTGTTTCCAAACGTGTGTGAAACGCTTTTGTTCCCTTGAATGCGGACGAATTAAAATTAAATCTTTGAGATTATAATTGACGACAGGTAGGTTTAGAATCGAGTTAAAGTTTTGATGTTGTGTGGGAGTCGTGAAGAGTGAACATGAACCTGAATCTCTGCGTGAACATGAACATGAACTAATTTCGTGTATTGTGAGTGGTGTGTGTATGGCCTGGCCTTGCGTGCGGGCCAACCAAATTAATGTCGTAACAATGTTATTACATTGTTATAGCTGTAGTAAACTTGACCCACCTTGGTCTTCAACATTTTGTAACTAATACTTCTATAATAGAAGAAAAATACTAAGTTTCCCTCGTAAATTTCAATTCAAAACATAATTAAAGTCTACATTTTGGTTTTCCATATTTTAATGTACCGTAAAAAGAGCCTCTCCCTTGCTTTGTTCAATGTTCTACGACATTAAATCGCATGCAACGTTTAGCCCATAATCTTATGTTGATGTGTTCTGCTGTTTAGCTATTTTGAATGTGAAATAACAATTTTGCAACTTGGAATTGCTGCATTTGAGCAGTTGCAATTGCAAGAGTTAATGCCGCCTTGCGTGATTATTGTGATTTGCGTTGTGCAACCTTGGCGCAATCACTGCAATCTTGCCCATCAGGAGTACGTTCTATTTAGGTACTATCCTATCCTTCAATGAGTCATCGACGTTTTGCCCACGTCTCCGATTCGCTTGCAATCGAAACCAGACACGAGAAAACCGTGTTATCCAGTCTCCCTCTTACTTGCTGCTTGCACTTTTCATGTTTTCTGCGATTGTTCGCGGTTCACATCGAGGAACAAAGAGATTTTTAATAGTTTAATGCATTAATGCATTTTCACATGCATCGTGCACACTTACCCACTTTAACAGCGATAATTATAAACGCATTGTCTGCTTAATTACAGTTTAACTTTTTTTCGTTTGTGCTTCAATTGATGATTGCAATCTTCGCGAAATTATCAGATGAATGAAAATCTGTACCTTCTAATTTTAGATTTAGATAGTTGCTGTTAGCATCTCAAGAATATAAGAACACCTGCTTGTTGTTGTTGGTTACTTTTTTGTTCATTGCTTCTTCGGCTTCAACTTGTATGCGGTCATGTGGATGTAGACCTGTTCCTTCCTCGCGCTGGCTTCGTGCGTCCTCTTCGTGAGGTGCGTGTGCTGCTGCTTCTTTGCAAGAAGTTGAAAGTCTTCGGGGGCTCTCTTCGTGAACGACCTTGTCTGGACAACTCCCGGCCGGCTAACCAGTTTGATCTGTTAAAAATGTGTGCTCTCGCGGGCTTCTTTGGCGTTTTTAACTTGCCGAGCGTTTATTATGATGCATTAACAAACGAAAATATCTAAACTTTAGCTTTAAATGTATTCAGCCTGATGTAAAAGTAAGTTTGTTGGGGCGTTGGAGGTTGAATCAAAGTTAAATCTTTTATTATTATTATGCGCTTGGTGTGCAATGCAGCGTACTTCCGTTCGACCGCAACGACAGCAGTCATGATCATTATTCATCGCTTGCGATTTCGCACAGAATTTTATCACGGTAGGAAAATATTTAAACTGTGAGTGTTACGACTTATATCTGTTAATTTCGATTATTTTTTTATCCAAAATTATGCCTCGAAACATCGTAAATATTTCTTAACACCAACATATTTAAAATAATTAGTTTATAATAGTTTGTCGCCGTTATAATTGCCTTTGAGTTTTTGTTTGCTATTAAATTTGAGTATTTGCTTCTCGGCTGGCTCACTGCGCATCTTGGGAAGTCGTGTTCGAATGGTTAACTGACCTAGTGAATACAAACACCACTAGCACGACGGGCGCAGAAAATACAAAGCCATGCATGCCTAATTATGAGAATTACTCACGCCGCGCGCGAGCATTGTGTGTCTG